ATATATTTTAACTTTAATTAAAATAAATTTTATCAAAAATATTTTTCAAATGTAATTATTTTTTTATAAATGTAATTACTTTTTATTATATTTATTTAATTTTATATATCTAACTCCGTCTCTTTAATTTGTGTTGGATGCTTATTATTTTCAAGAATTGCCATATTTCTATGTGTAATAACATTGCCTTATGCACAAAGAAAACATTCGTGTGTTCTTGGACACCAAATTATGCTAGTTTAGCTTCGATTAAATAGTATTTTTCGTTTAAATTGGTCATAATCTCCCTCCGTTTTACCACGAGTTGTGTCGAAAGCATCATTGTTTTATAGCAAGTGGTATCATAGCATCTTTGATCATTTTAGTGTGAAAGGCGTTTTTTAGGTTCTCGTTCATATAGGTGGTCACGACATATATAAGATCTGATATTCCTTTGTCGGACATAAACATGAGATTTTATTTATGGCAAGTGAAGATGAAACATATCCTTGTTCAAATGGATTGCATCAAACCTTGTATGGTTTTGATCCTATGCTTTCTATTTGGATTCCACACGAGAAAATTCGGTCAAGGTTAAATATGAAAGGCATGTTTTACAATTATTACAATAAGAAATGGCGTGTGATTGATGATTGATCCAAGATACAAAACAATAATAGAAAATGGAAGCTGCATATGGACTTCGGAAATGCCGTTGTAGCCGAAGAGACTCTGAGCGATCGTATGGTCGTCTCAAATGAAGACTACGTCTTCAAAGCATAAAAACGCTTCCTTTATGTGAACTTTGTATTTTCCCAAAGATTGGATTGGTTGATCAGACTATCTACAAAGCAGGTGGTCGTCCTGGAATTAGTCAGCTCGTATAGCGGATTGGATATCCAGGTTAATAAAAAAAGAACTACGAGTAATGACCATGAGTCCTAAATTTTTAGTTCTGTCAAATAGATGAATACATGTAAACAGAGGGAAAAAAATATACTCGACTTAAATAAATTTAAAATAAATAAATATATTATATTTCATGATTTTATTAGCGACGAAACATTATTGATTTTCCGTAGATTTCATTCCACCGGAACCATGACTTCATTGGTCCTAAAAGCAGGCAACGTCCATGGCGGATTGTATCTTCCCAACACGTACTCCCCACTGATCTTAAACCCATCTCTCTCCAAATCCCTCTTCAACTTCTCCACCTTCTCCGCCACCACTCCTTCCGTCGCCACCCCACTAAATCCCACCACCCCATACTTCCGCTCTCCCTCCTCCTTTATCACCACCCTCTCATCCACCGCCTTCGGTGCTTCCTCTGCCGTTTTATACTTCTCCGGCAGTATAAACTGCATCGTCACCCTTCCTCCACCACCCTTCGTCACCACCGGCGATGTCATCTCTATCTTCTCTGCCATCGTCGTCGTTATTACCGGTGCCGTCATCGCGATCTTTTCTGGCTTTGTATTCTGTGGGTTGCCAAATGCACCGATGTAGTTGGCAAGTATGGTGAACCCACCATCTTTGTTTCCGTTGAACTGGGATGGATCGTAGGTGACTTCGGCGGCCACCGACGGTGGGTATTGACGGATCTCGTAGTCTGCCGTGCTGCGGATGACTTGGAATTTTGGTGTCTCCACCGTGATTTTCCCGAAAACCATACCCATGTTTAGCAACAAATTTGTGTGTTCGTCACGGTGGGTGATTTATTTGGATTTTCTTCATCAACAAGCGGTGAGCATTGAGCAGGTGCTGCGTGGACTTTATCAGACCACGTTGCAAAAATGGAACTTCTTAATGTACAATTTTCAAGGCACAAGTTATATGCCGTTGATGCATTACTTAACAACAATATTGTAGTTTACTCGAGGGACCCATAATTTCTTTTAGGCAAAAATTACATAAAATAGCAATTTAATTTTATAAATTTCTTTATTATAACATTATATTTTTAATTTTTTTATTATATCAATGTATTTTCAAACTAATTTTTATTAGAATATTGTATATTAAAAAATTTATTTATTATAGCATTGGACAATCTTTGATTTTAAATTACTCATTATACCAGGTTTTCATGTTATTTCATTGTCTACATGGACTGTCCACATATACTATAATGATGTGACTTTCTGATAACAACATTATATTTTCAAAATTATTTTATTATAGCATTTATTAGTTCTTGTTAAACAATGTATTTTTAATTTTAATATTTAGATATTTTACA